AAAGGGTTGCTCCGGGACAAGGTCTGGTCAGGCAATTCCACTGTCTTTGTGATCTTACTGGCTAAATATACGTCATGAAGCCTCCAAAGTACTGCGTGTGACCTCACAATCATGCCACGGAAGGCTGAAGCTTGCTTTATCGTATCTTTCCCGGTTCTTGAACAGGAAACGATCCAAAAACGGTTTGAACCATGGCTTCTCCAAGACATCATTGCCCAGCGCCAGACATGGACGCGGTGAAGCAGTCACTCGCAGGCGTCATAGTACGATGTTTCTTTTGTGGTTCGATATTGGCCCAATGACAACATGGGAACCAGGTAGACGATTGTTAGATCCAAACATTGTGTATGAGTATGCCAAGTAGGAACTGGTGTTTGAACGTTATAAAGCATTATCCCGATGAGGAACTTTTTGCTAATTCTCTCAACCAGGGCTAGGTGTGAGAATAAATGCGGATTATTCTGTCTTGTTATGTCTAAGAGCCGATAAATGGTGACGACAAGGAAAGCACATTCTGGCCACTGAACAGGAACAATACACTTCGAGAGGGTTAGACGTCACCGAGCGCCAATGCAGAACGACGGGCTGACCAGTTGACGTGTTAATCCTTGAGGCGAGCAGCCATGCATCTGGGTGTTTATTCCTGTGCCTTCCGCCTATGCCACAGTTCAGATGCATAGTGAACATTCTGATAGCTAGTCGCGGATATGTATATTGTTTTGAGCATAATTTGCGTCCTCCTAGACTAACACTGTTTAAAGAAAAAAAAAGGACCCACCCAGTGCTAATTACCAGACCATACGCACTGGATACTTCCAGACCAGTATAACACTACTTTCGGTATCCATGTTTATCCGCCTCCGAATCTGGTTCCCGTTTAGGATTAACAGAGGTTTACGTGGCAACACGTCACTTTACATTCCTCCGAACATGGCGCCTAGACTCTCGAAACTTCGTCGAAACGAGCTTCAAAGCATTTTATTGAGTAAACTTAACGGTGACGAGGCAATCAAGGACCAAGAGATAGCTAGAACCGTGATCAACTGCGGCGAGAGATCCGTGCGTAGAGCCCGCTCCAACATTATCCGACACGGAACGATCGATGCCCCATCCAAGCCCGTCGGCCGACCGAGGGAGATTACAGAGAACATGATGCTAGCATTGCAAGCAAAGCTGCTAGACCGTGCTAGCATGAGTCACCAAGCGCTGTCAGACTACCTCTTCCAGAAATATGGTGTTCGTGTCTCCAGATTCACTGTCGGTCGGCTGATCAAGCGAATGAAATGGTCGAGAAAAAAGATGGCCATCTTCGCCAAGGAGCAGAATCCAATACTCCGTGACGATTACATATATAGGCGATCCCTCTTTGACCCAGATGGATGGTATTTCTAGATGAGAGCGGAGACGATCGTAGCGTCGCGATTCCGAAAAAAGGTTATGCTCCTATTGGCGTAACCCCGGTTCAGAAAAAGCCATTCCATCGCGGTAACAGGGTTTCCTTTCTGCCAGCTTATAGCCTCGATGGCGTTCTTTACTGCGAAGTATATGATGGCCATACGGACTTGGACTTCTTCGAAGGGTATCTCCTCAGACTGCTGCCATACCTAGGGAGGTACCCCGGACCGCGATCGGTGATCTTCATGGATAATGCCTCATTCCACAACGTTTCACTCGAGGTTCAAGCCACCCTCGCCGAAGCGGGTGTTTTGCTGGTTATGCAGCCGCCTTACTCACCCGATTTAAACCCGGTAGAGTATTTTTTTGGTTCACTCAAGCAGCACATTGCCGCCCGAGCTTTAGAGCACGAGGATCTTATCAAAGCCGACTTCAAGTCGTATCTGCGCATGCAAATAAATATATTGGGTCGAGGTAAGACCGGGAGGAGATGGGCGCGAGGTCACTTCAGAAAGGCTCAAATCTACGTTTGACGCTTTTATGAAAACAGCGTTCTATTTGAGCTGATGACAACGCCGATTTTGCGGGAGGTTCAAAATACTAGGGTGAGCATTGCAGAGGATCGATTCCAAGGCTGGAATCGACAAACAGGATGCTGTATTAAAAGATATCTCAAGGATCATACGCAATGCTAAAAGAAAACTGTTCATCTAATTGCCTGCGGCTTTCTCCCGTTCTTTCTTGAACCATGGAACGCCAGACACATAACGCCATGCAAAGCCCTCAGGCACACCTTCGTCCATAGAAAAGACGCATACCCGTTCTTTATTACTGTGCATGTAATCGAGGTCATAGCCATTTCGCAGGGCCAGCTGCTGCATAAACTCGTAATGTCCCTTCTGCTCATCAGACGCGCCATGTTTCAGCCATGTGGTATGCGCCCGAATATTGTCTTCGCTGCGCTGCGCAAAGCCCATGAGGGGTGTGGTTGGGAACACCATCGCTGGAATAATCGTGCGACCATCATGGGCAAGCTGAGCTGGGTTCGGGGGATTTATGGTCAGATTCTCCGAACCTGGACGTCTCCGCTTGCGTTTCGCTCGTTCGTTTTCCTCTCGAGACTGACGGTCACGTTCGTCATCAAGAACCAATCTGCGGAAAGTTTCGGGGACATCATCATGCCCATCAAGTGGCTTTCCTGCTTGTAAGTGATCGGCTAGCATCTTCACGTGGTGAGGATGAAGCGGGTAGTGTTGGCCATCAGACTGCCAGCAGTGGTCGCTGCCCTTTTTGCATGGGGGGCCAGGGCACCTCATAAGGGCAAACGCCTTCTTGACGCAAACGCCACGGCTGAGAACGGCCCCATCGCCGATTCTGGCTTGTAATTCTTCCAGCTGATTGACTGTCGCCCTGCCTCTGGTCACTTTGTTGCTCTCGATGTACGTGCTTTCGAACGTTATGTTAATAGTGATCAGGTTGCGTTTCTTGCCTGTATTGGGCAGCTCATTCCAGTCTTGCAGCTGTTTCTCAATGACTAGCCATTCGATGTCTAGGTTTGCGAAACGCTTTCGAAAGGGTCCGGTGCTACGATGGGTTGTTGACATCACGATTTCTGTGTCATCCACCCGGCAAGGTTTCTTCTCCATCGCCGTCTCCAACTTCGGTTGTAGGAGACGCCTCCAAAACCTGCGTGGGGACATAGTGATCCCTATTTCTGATTCACCTGCACGGCGTCGATGTTTACAGACAGTTTCCATTCAACATTGTACGGAATCGTTAGCTCGTCTTCGTCCGATGTCTGGCAGTCGTACAGCAGTGTTACGGGGGCTTTTCCTGCAGGTCGCAGGCGGCTCCTCGGAGCAGTAGAAACATTTTGAGACACCTCGTCGTCAGAAGTCAAGTGGCTTTGACAATCATCCGCATCGCTTGGCCAGTTGTCAGATTGGCTCATGGTCACGCATGCATAAGACGCCAGAAGATGCCTCGTCGCTTCTCGCAAGTGCATACCAAACCCGGCCTCAGCGTTCTTTGCAACGTGTCCATAGGTTTCCTCCGCCATCCACGGCCCACTTCTTCAGGCATCACGTGAATAATCATCCCTGTAGTAGTTATCACCCAGCATTTGTCTAGAGACGTTTCATAGAAGAGCTATTCTGACAAAATAATTATTTTGGCATTGAAGCGAGAGATGGAGGGGATAATCGAAACTTTATCGAGTTAAAATGGATCTTATTACAGCGGCGCCAAGGCTCAGGCGATCTGGGGTTGCCACTGCGACCTCATTTATGCAGAAACCGACGGCACAGAGAGGTACCCTAGCTAAAAATAAAAAGCAGGTACTCATAGAATAATCGCACTGTGTCGCCATTTTTAGGCACGAAGAAATCGCCCACTTTGCATGCCCATTTTTGGCTTTTTCGCGCCAAGCCTAATTTTTTTAGAGAGAGTCGTAGCGGACGCTAGTTATGCTCAATTGAATACGAGCAATAGAATACAAACGGCTGCCTTGTCAGTGGAGCCAGGCAACATCGTATTATACGCGTCTTTGCACGCCAGAAGAGAAAACGGCAGCAACTCACGCTTCCCGCCCCTACAGCAGGGCGAGATGCCGACTTCTGAGTCGCTGGACTCGTAGGTATTTTCCTAAGTTTCACAGAATAATGTTCGTCCTATAAGCTGGCACACGATGAACCATTGGATGGATTTCACCTCTTCTCGCAGGCGGGTGACCACCGACAAAGCCAGCAAGCCGCTCACAGAGCCTGTGCTCATCTTTCTCCGTAGCTTGTGCCGAAAAGAGGCCTCTAAGCGTCAGGCAGGCTTCTGCCAAGCCCTGTCAGTCTCTGACTAGCCCACTGTGCAGCCTCCACCCCTATATTTTACAATCTCCCACTTACAGTTGAGGGGGAATCAAGACAAGCCGACCGCCTAGGAGTTCAGACCCTCTTCAAGCACACTGCTCCATGCGTCACACGTGTCCTAGTAAGCTCTGATAGCCATTAGCTGGTCCTACGGCGAACCGCAGAGGTCGGACGCAGGCGCAGACATGAGTAAATAAAGTGCAGGCTGTCACACCGAGAAGAATGTATCTCTCTATCAAATTACAGTACAATACACGGGAAGGGGGCAGGTTGCTCTGAAGGAAAGACGTAAATCTATTACTCTGAGTTCGCTAGCGACTCAAGCCCTGCTATCTGCCGATACTCCTGTCGGATCTGAATGTGCCTTTAATGGCTTCTGGCCGTAGATAATAGTGCTAATGATGTTAGAGAGTAGCTCTAGTAACGCTCGGTGTGCCTTACCGTCGGGCGAAGTCTTTTTTCCGCAGCGCGAAGCTTGTCTCGAATAATTGATAGAATTTTGGAATTAAGTCGAGGTGCAGCTTCAATTGAGGCTGCGAGAATATAGACTGGAGACACGCGACTCGATTGGCGACGTCTGCCTGAACATCGCTACCTGATAGCTTGAGCTCTCTTTCCTTGATCAGGTCAACCCCAGCGGAAATAAATCGCCCACGTAATTGTTCCGTGAGTGCGACTGCCCGGTCTCCAGAAATAGAGCATGCATACTGGTAGCGGTCCCACGGTGGCTCTGTAGATAAGATGTCAACCTCACTATGCTCCAGATACCCTCCAGGTTTCAAGCAGCGTAGCGCCTCAGCGTAAATTAGGTCCCATTTGTCGTTCCTAATGTATCCGGCGAGATTTCCGGCGTAGATATAATCGAATGTGTCGTTTGCAAACTCCCAGGGTGTCTCTTCAATATTGCCGATTCGGAACTCGCAGTTTTGCGGTAGTCCGGCTTGCTGCTCGCTCAACACGTCTATCCCTATCACATGTGCATCTGGGAAGCGCTGGGCTATTTCCCTATTAGACTGTTAGTTATGTGCTACAATGATTCCCAAGGCACTTACCCCGCCATGACTCCAGATCCTGTGCCAATGTCAAGAATCCTAAGCGGCCTCTTAACTGGCGCGCTAAGACTCCGATCATTATCGGCCGCACACAGATGTCGATGGCTACTGAGATTAATATCAGCGAGATCATAATCTCAAGCGACGTACTACTTGATAGCTTGAGTAGCCAGAAAGCCATTAGGACTTGGATAATTAGTATTAAGGAATCAAAGAACGAGCTCTACTTACCAGAATGCAGATCCCCTATAGCTTCGAAAAAGATTCCCATTAATGATACGATCAGAGAATTGACTGTCCTTGAGTTGCTCGCTCATTATCGTAGCTATATTACAAGCTATGTTTTTATTCGAGAATTAGGCCCATTCAATACCCGGTCTAGGTAGCAGGAGGGTGGAGAGACTCGTAGGTTGTAATAAGGGAGGGGATCTAAATAGCCCATCACCCCATCTATGTATGTCCCCCAAAGTCCTCAGTGAAAGTCTGCCCAAAACTACGCTGTAATAATTCTGCCCAAACTCTTACTCGGTCCGAATACGACATTGCAGCCGGATGACCCAGCTGACTGCAGGTTTCGAGCTATTTTGCTTTCTTCACAACCAATAGCGAGGACAAAGTAGACCGCTAGGTTGTTCCGTTCCTCGCAACCGACCCAGCCGGTGAAAGGCTTTTGGCCACGTGAGCTGTGGTCGATAATCGCCCGGATTCTATAGACAGATACAGCCTCAGCCCTGATGAATGCCCCTGGCTTTGCGAGTCGGGTTTGACGAGTCTCGGACGAGGGATCTCATCGTCGTCAGCAACGTGTCCTCCCATCAATGGGTCAAGTAATATTAATTGTGTAGCTTTTTAAGTTCGATCTGTCTAGAGAAGATGTATTGCGCCTGGAGCTGCCTAAGACTTCCGTCATTGCTCTGCCCAAGTCTTCCGTCATTGCTCTGCCCTTTCTTGGTCTTCAAATCCAGCAGCTGCCACTGGCCATCGACTTGAACTGGACCAGGGGTGAGGTGTGTCCATGATACATTCACTATTGCCACCGAGGGTGGGGTGGCGGAGTCTTGCGCCTGATCCTTTGAGTGCCAGGATCAGCGGAGTAGGTTCTGCTTCCGTACCATGCCAGCCTTGTTGCGCCGGTGCTGGTCGTCACAGGTCTTCCAATGGTCAAGTCTTGTGGAACTAAATTAAGAGGGCGCACCTGGTACTCTACGTCGGGATCTCTTGCCGCCGCCCGCCTGCCTTAAAGAGGAACTCTAACCAAACGATGCTGCCACCCCCCCGTCTGTCGCAGTGGGAGCGGGTCAGTCGATGCCTGTCTGATAGCGTTTCAGTGCCCGTGCAAGTTATACTACTCCCATATATCTCAGCTGCCAGCGTACGAGAGCCGGCAGTGCGGCTTGTTGGGTGTCCGTATTTATCTATACATGACCGGGGATACCAGATCAGCCCGCCATCACAGCGGAGTTCGTGTCCCTTGCCTTGCACCGATCCAGCGGGTTACCATGCTGCAATGGTCGTGGGCGGGCTCGGGCTGGTGCCACTCTCTCGCAAGGCCACTAGTTGTGAGCAAAAGCCATGGTGGCTGGTCCATCACGCGCCACGCAGCCACTGGCTGGGATGGCTTGCTTCGGCCTCAAAGGGGTATGTCCCCAGGAGGCATTGCTAACAAGGGTGCGACTGCGGTGTGGCAGCCAAAGCCGGATGTGTTGCGCGTTCTAGCAGTTCTACCGGACCCTAACATGTCAGGTACCCCTGTGGACCTAGCCCAATCGCCACCGATATGCTTCAGCTCGAGTTATCATCTTGGCTTCAAAGTGCTGACCGAGAGGTGTTCGTTCTGGATAGTCTAATAAGTCGAATTTATCTAACGCGGAACATTTACATAACCACGGCTTAGTAGTTTCTCTTTATAGGAAAAACGTAAAATAGTGGTTGCCTTCTTTCTCGGACTTATAATTATGCATTGCTTGGTAGTATACGGATGCCATTGTTTCTCTTTTATAGATTAGAGCTCTGTTACATCGTGTCATGTTTACTGCTCCTCATGTCAGGCAGAGGACTTCGTTCTCCCACTTCTTAACCTTGGACACCATAAGCTCCCACCAGGGTTGCCTCTTGGCAATGCCGCAATCCGGTTCCGTGCTTAGCGCGGGCACTGGGGCTTTACGGTTCATCCAGCTCTGAATACGTCTCAGAGCTTGATAAAGTGGCGGCACGCTCTGTCGCAGGAAGTTAATTAGCAACTAGCTTAAATGGAGGAGCATTTTCTCTTATGATTGTTCACACTTACACTGCGAACAGGGGTTTCAATGACGTGCTGAAACCAGGCATCCGCGACTAGACCATGCTCTGGTATAGTGGCTAGTAGCCCGAGGATGAAGACCGGTAGTAGCGGGGCTTGCGCCGTAAATATAAAGCCTGACGTTGGCATAATAGAGATGCACTTGGCTAAGTCGGCTATGTTGTCAACGACCATCTGATGGTTTCGCGGAAGTCTAGGCTAAGGTCAGCATGTTTTGATGCAAGAAACCGAGGCGCAAGAGTAGGTACGGCACTTACCTGAATAGGCGGCACTGCAGGTAGACCATTCCAGCTAGTCTCCACGCTTCCGCCGTCACCACAGTCATCTGTTTCGCTTCTTGGACAACGTAGTTCTCGCCTGCCTGGCGAATCCATTCAATCGGTTGCGATCTATTCTTAGCAGCGTCCCAGCTATCAAATTCTCCACTCCATTGACGCAACTGCAGAAGCTGGTCGTAGAGCTGGTCGGCAGTTACAGGCACAATAGGCGTTTCGCATTCCTGTAGTATGCGAGCGGAACAGTAGTTCACCTGACTGAAGATGTGCAGCAGGCGTTTCGAGAAACCGCATCCACCGTGGATTTCATATATGTCCGATTTAGATCCATATAAGAGGAATCCGAATCTGCTTGTTTCGGCAGAGGGGTTGAAAGTAGTGAGACGCGGGAGGGGCATCATCAGCTGAGCCAGAATGACAGCTCTACCAACGATGACTGTTTGCGATAGGCGTAGGGCAGAGACCTGGACATTTGACTCTTTGTAAAAACGACAGCCTGGATCCGTGCGCTGCAGCACGTTCTCCGCCTGCTTCAATCCCGTCAACCAGCGAGGGTAGTGAGGTCTTTGGAGCCTGCGTTCCGTGAGAACCACATCCTGCATAGAGAGCAATGACGCCAAGGTGACTAGCTCGCCAGACTCGCTTTCGTCTAGATTGTCTGCAACCTGGAGCAGCTCGCTGAGCCGGGCTTCAGCGATGGCAAACCTTTTGTTGACTAGATACCGTACTTCATCACATGGCAGATAATCATGAACATAAACACCAGCGAGGGACTGTATAGCGGCTACAACAGCGGGACGTTGCATGCTGGCGAAATCAGTCAACCACAGGTTGGTTTTTGTCAACACACTTCGCCCAGGACACCAATTGTGTGTGTCTGTAGAGCAGAAGTTAGCGCAGATTTCCCGTGAGATATGGCGAAAGCAGAACTTACAAAAACGGAACAGCTTTCTG